ACCCGAAACGTCGGGATAATAATAAAAATAAATTAAAGTAATTAAACGCGATAAAATCCGTAAATAATTGTTTTATTCAATACGACTACACCGTTATTTCCCTTTTATTATTTTGGCACAGAATTTTATTTGTGAACTTTACGGTAGGTAGTAATTTCATTGCATTTAACTAAACCAACTAAAATCGAATCAGGATCAATGTAAACAATGGAATTACAAATCAGTAGTCTAATTTGTAGACACCCTTAATTGTTTTTCTAGCCGTTATTATGACTACGGCTGTGTTATGATACGGTGTTGTACATATTAAAAATATAACTTTTGACCGTACAGAAAGATCGTTGAGAAAAATAAAACATTGACTCAAATACTCAAAGAAAACGCTAAAACGCTGGCAGTATCACTAGAAAAATATAATATTAAATCAAAATATTCATACGTGAATACAAGGTGATCTAGTAAAATACATACGACTTACACAATAATTATTACTATAATACAGATTATAAATACCTAAACTAAGAACGTTTTGATGTTGTGTCCGAACTAAAAGTAAATAAAAAAATCGCAGTTCTAAATAATAAATTATGCATTACAAAAATAGAAAATAAAGACTTATATTAACAGAACTTTGTAATTCTTTATTTAAAAGACGTTTGTCAGTCATCAAAATTCCCTTCACTACAAAGTAAAAAAAAGAAAAAATATGCGAATTTGTACCAATAAATAACCATAAAATTAATGTTTAAATTGACAGTAAAGCAATAATTTAAAGCTACCAGCAGCTAAACACATTATGAAGTTTTAACGATTCAATTCGACACAACATCGATAAAATAAATGCTTTAAAAAAAAAGAATACGTAGAACTTTTTACACGATTTACACATCAGTCGTAAGAAAAATATCCATAGTCTTGTCAAAAGCTGAACTATTTACAATTTAAATTACATGTAGGTAGTACAGTGACTGTTATATTTACTTACAACTTTGTCATACAGAACAGTCGCAAAACTTCAAACTATTTTCGCACCGCAGCCTTGGCTCACATTGACTAAAGAGACCTTCTACAATCTATTTTTTTAAATTCCATCCAGAAACTGTGCTATCTAGACAAAATGTTTCTAAAACATGACTAAAAATAAAATAAATCTAAAATACTCTAACTGGCTTTATTGATTGAATTGTTTCATAAAAAGAATTTACGAGCGTTCCGTATAGTACAGTTAAAAACTACTTTGTGATGAAGTATATCACACATCGTTGTATTAAATACACAAAATACCTTGCTATCGGCGGTACAGTTTGGACGTAATAATACTTTTTTCTATTACTGTTTTAAACTGTATAAATTGCACGGTACTTTTTTAACATCTTAAAGACCTGTATAATATATATAATTCAGAGACAATCTTGAGCCTAAACTCAAACTTCGCAATTTCAAAAATTGAGCCAAGCCGATATTGACACAAATTTTGACATTTCTTTTTATTTTTTTTTACTTTATGGCTATCTCGTAAACCATTCTGCCAATGACAAGTTAGTGATGGAAGTGACAAAAATTACATTGTAGGTCTAAAATTTTATACCAAATTGTTTATTGAGATGCCTGTAACAATGAACAGATAGCTAGAATCCCACCACCATATCAAATTACTGTAGTGTTAGTATATCTATTATATAAATAATACATAAAGATATATAGTATAAGTAACGTATCTTACCGGGTATCTTAATGAAATATGAGATCCAACACTGATAACCGCTAATATCCTAAAAGGGGGTGTACACTAGTGACAGTAATGTCTCGTATGACGGGAGATCAGAGTATCAAAAGGAATAGAAAATTTTAGGAGAGCAAAAGAATAAGTGTTCCGGGTTGCTCTCAAACTCTACAATGTCAAAATTTCAGTGTAGTCTATACTACAACATACGATTTATAATTTTAATTTAATGCCCACATTTTAAATTTATAACGTGACAATATAGTAAGTAACTTGTGATTTGTTGTTAACATAGATTGGTTGGTTACTCAACCAATCAGACGACCGCGCTTATTACAGAACAATTAGGGAATGGAACTAGAAAATAAGAGAATGTATGCGAGTAAAATTCATCAGAGCGCCGTCTAAGTCGAAAGCAACATAGTTTGGGGTTATTATGCCCAGAAGAATATAGGACACACATGTAATTAGGTACTATAAGTGAAAGTGTAAAGGATTACTATATATGTAATACAGGTGAATAAATGATATGAAATTTGAAACATAGTTTTAGTTTTTAAAATACATATACTTACTCCACAAATTTTTGAATTGTTTGGTTTTACTTTAAACTCGATTGTCTCTGAATACCGGCCTAAAAATCAACACCGTCTTCGCGTAATTTGACACGTGATGTCATCAAATTAAAATTCCAATATTTAACACGTGACTTACTTCGTGGTATTGACACTTCGTAATTAATTCAATTAATGTTTGATAATTTTGTCCTTTGCTTCAAAAAGTTTCGGTTCTTAATGACAAAATAGTGAATGGCAGTGTGAATTGATGGTGAAAAAATGAATCCTCCTTTTTTCAATGTTACAATCAAAATGTACATTAAAGAAAATTTTGGCCAAAATTTAATCATTAAAAATTAAATAATTAGGTACAAATTATAAGAATATTTTTACAAATATCTAAGAAGACTTCAAAAATTCATTTTGACTCAATGAGGTAAGCTCCTCATATTTTATATTATTTTGCTTTTAAACTATTAACATATTAAGAATATGATTTTAAACAAAATACAACTTTGTGATAGCTCCCTATGTAAACATAATTTATATCATTTTTATCGAACTTATTAGTAAATAGAAAACTATTTTCTTACAACATAAGGTACACGCATTTAACGATATTTTATAACATCCTTCTAGTCTATTAAATAATAAATTTGATTAAAAAAAAATTAGAGAGAACAATTCTTTATTGAAATCCAATGTAAAAAAATAATACTAAGGCGGGTCAAATGACCATTCACAACATGGAAACACAAATATTAATTCCGATAATAATTTAGTTGTATTTCACAGCCTCAGACCAACAAAAAAGACAGAACGCTTTGTGAATTTGAAGTGACGTCAAAACCATGTTCAACTTGTGAGAGGCCGCATTTACATTTTTGTATTTGAAATCATTTGTAAACAATAACATGTTTTCGATGCATATATGTGTGTTATGTGAAGTTGAGAATAGTTTCGGCGTCAAGTAAAATATAAGTAGACTTATGTCTATCTTCATTTGTTGGTCTGAGTTCACTTTCCCACTAAATGGACTTTTCAACATTTTCGACTCTTATATTACGATAACTAAAATAAGTAAAGCAATAGTTTATAAAACGTCTCGCGTCAAATGCCTATAATTTAATTTAATAGTGAATTTAATGGCATCAAAATATTAACACTGACAACAAAAACATCTGTCGTCACTAACACAAGTAGGACGATATTACTTTTATACGATCGAAGGCCTTTAAATGAGTAAATAAATGACTATTAACAACATAAAATGAATTTTATTTGTCATTCCGTTGCCACAGATTCGTAAACGAATTTTGCAAGACGATGGCCACCTATCAGACGCTATAAGCGATTGGCGCTGAGTATTATGGATCAAACTTCATGGCTTTGAGCAAAACACTAAACATATCCATATGTACACACTCATTACAGTACTTACTCGATATGCAATTATTTACATTGGTGTTTTGATCTGTAACAAACGAAAAGAAATTGTTAAAGTCGTCATATATAAATAACATCATGGTATAAATGTTTCATCTCACGAAGGAGGGCGAACCTTAGTCTGCTGCTTAGGCATAGCAAATTAAATCTGACGTCACTGCGCACAAATGCTCTTGTATTTTGTGACCTATCCAAAGCTTTCTATTGTGTTTACCAAGGGACATTAATCAGGAAACTACAAAATTATGGTGTAAAAAGTGATGTTCTCAAGCTCATTATTTCATATTTAAGTAATTGAATATAAAAAAGTTGTTATCAACGGTAAGGGTTCTTCCGAGTCGATAGTACAAATGGGCATACCTCAGGGCTCATTTCTCGGCCCTTTTAATATGTTTATTATCTGTATAGATTATTACCTTACATAGTACATACTCCACTAATTTTAAAACGAAGACGACATGTAACAAAATATGACGAAGTTAATAATGCTATATCTAAATTAGTAAATTGGGTTAGCGTTAACAATTTGATTTTATGGTACTCAAACTAAATGCATGAAATTAGTAACTTTAAAAACTAATCAGCTAAATACGACACAATGTAATTTTAAATGGGAAAGAATTGAGTCTTGTTAATACCACCATATTTCTTGGAATCAATCTAGACGCGAAGCTTTAACAGGGCCTCCATATATGTAAACTAATAAATTTAGTTCTACAGTGTTCAAAAGCATTGAAACAACTACACAAAATTCTTTTAGCTTTTTTTTAGCATAATGTCGTATGATATTTTACTATGAGGAAACGAGACACGTAAAATTTTTTATCACCACCCAATTAAAGTTCGTCAGTCAAAATAAGGTTTTGGTTTTTCCTGTCAAGTAATTCAGCAGCAGCCCAGAGTCAGGAAGTTAGCTGCTTTGCCGCGGTCCTGCGCTAGGTATTTTACCGGTCGTGTCGGATTGCCGTATCATTGAGGGAAAAGGGAGTGCACTTGTGCTTGCGTACACACTCGATAATCCTGCTTTGCGTCAACGTCTCAATGCAGACGTGGCTAGTCTGCATTGAGACTGGCCCACGTGACAATAATGTCATGGTGATTCACTCGGTGCCGAGCGTAACGAGCGCGACTCACCGTATAATGTGGTGCAGTGATTAGTGGCAGAGTGTGACCGTGCGGTGCGGTATGTAGTGGCCGAGCGTGGCACACCGTGCGGTGCGGTATGTAGTAGTCGAGCGTGACCTGCGTGACTCACCGTGCGGAGCGTGCGCGTGTCAGCGGCGGCGGCGTTTGGCGGGCGGCGGCGGGTGGTGACCGAGCGTAACGAGCGCGGAGGCGACGGCCAGGCCGCCGAGCGGAGGCGCGCGGCCCGTGCCGCCGGTGGGCAGGCGCACGAGCAGCGACAGCACGGCCGCCCGCCCGCCGCGGCACGGCTCCAGCGCCACCGGCGCCGGCACGCCGCCGCCTGCAACCGCACCGGACTAATAAGCTTCCATTCATCAGATAACGAAAACACAATGGCTTAGGTTAGCTTAATTGTTTTTGGGATTAAAAATTACCTATATTAAAAATGATAGGAATCGATTCAGTAAACGATTCTGAACAAACTGCTTCCAGGATGTGCGTTAATTATGTTACATGTACATCTATTAATTGCAAGTCCCTTTATCGAACAACTGATTGACACCCAAGGTAGTACGTAAAATAGACGCTAGATGGCCTGAATTTATGAAATCATTTTTTCAGGTTTTGATGGTTCTTTTTTATTCAAATTAGTATTACTTGGAATCATTTATTTTTTATTCTTTATATTCTTTACGTGGTAGAGCCATGCTGCAGTTATTTTAGTAGTATAGTTGTAGCACAAATGGGTAGGCTCAACCGAGGAAGGATCACGCTCTCACAGAATACCAGCGTCAAATAGTAGCTTAATGCTGCTGTGATTTGTATGCTCAGTGTAGAGAACCGGAGACCCAAGCAAAATGAGGCATTCCATCTTAGTCCTCACGGGTGACAACGCATCTGCAGTTTGATTCGTATATATTACTCGTATAGATGTAGATGTCTATGGGCCGCAGCAACCACTTACCATCAAGTGGACTGTGTGCTCGTTTGTTACCCTATTCTATAAAAAAATACATGCCTGCAGCTCACACGCGACAGAAGTGAAACCTTCAAATGAAATGAAATATAAAATACAAATACTTTAAATGATTTATTTAATATTATAATTTAAACTACAAGTTCGGCATAAAATATAAGAAAATTTAATTTTATAGTAAATAAATGTGGTACAGCCGTGGTAGCTCAGGTGGTTAGCGCTCGCTATAAATTTCACAGTACGCGAGCAAACCGGGTTCGATCCCCGCCGGCACCAATGAAATTGTTAATTGCAATTTTAAGTGCTGATTTTACCACGTGCTCGGCGGTGAAGGGAAACATCGTGAGGAAACCTGCATGTCTGAGAAATAAGAAAAAAAAATCGAAGACCTGTGAAGTTCGCCAACACGCATTGGGCCAGCGCGGCTGACACCTCCTTGCCCTAAAACCCTCTCAGAAATGAGGGTAGGCCTGTGCACAGCAGTGGGACGTATAGTATAGGCTGTAACGTTAAATGTAACAATCCTTTTAGACAACGATATTATATTACTCTTTTCGATATACCTTATATACCTATTACGATTTAAAAACATCTTAGATTACGAAGTTGAGGTTTGGCCGTTTTTCACTGCTTGTTTAATCCAAAGGCATACGACACCTTGTTGAACAAAACGCGTAAGCGACGCCGTTTCGGCGGCGTTTACGACTTTTTTCTTCCATTCTTTATAATGCTTCCTATCTCATTTTCTCCCACAAAAATCTTATGAATTTATGTATCTGTCTCTTTTTCGTTTCATAGAATTTCAAATCACAACGACGCTAACGAAGTTTTCACTTCAAAATTATTATTTATTTTATCTAAACGACATATTTTAATCTGACCATGTTTCAAAGAAGTCTTCGACATTGTTAATGTACTTTTAAGGGTCATAGCTCATTAGAGCCACCCGGCACCCGACCCTCACCGCCTCGTCGCCAGGCAGGTAGTCGACAGGTGGACCACGGGTAGACGCCGCGTTGTTAGCAGTGAACTTCGCGTGGTCATCGAGTGAACCTCGCTTCGTCAACAAGCGGACCTCGCGTGATCAACGAGTGACCCTTATATCATACAATAAATTATAATTCCGAACTTCTTCTATAAGTTTTTCTTTGTTCATTTTAAAAACCTCCTTCATTTTAAAAATTTTAAACGCTTAATAAATGGGTGCCCCACGAACTCAATGATCGCCACTGCGAGGTACGCATCGAGACATGCCCTGCAATGCTCTGTAGGTTCACAAACGAAGGAAATTTGAACCGCATCGTAACCTGCAACGAAAAATAGATACTGTTTAAAGCACTCAACAAGTTGGTTGGATTTTGTAACTGTTCTGAACACTTAAACAATGCGCTAAACGAAAACTTACCCCTAGAAAGGTGATGCTCACTGTTTGGCGGTCTAGCTCCGCTGTGATTCATCATAGCTTATTACAAAACGGGATAAGCATTACTGCAGATTTGTACTATGAAGAACTAAACACAATGATGAAGAAGCTCGCGCGTCTCCAACCAGCTTTTGCCAACGGCTCGTCCCCGCTGCTCCTTCACGACAACGCGCGTCTTATTACTGCACTACAGACTATCTCCGAGGTTCAAGAGACGGGGTTAGAAGCTCTCCCGTTATCAGTGTACTGACCAGACTTTGCGCCTACAGACTTCAACTTTTCCCAGAATTAGTTGGATAACTATTTGGCGTGAAAAAAAAGTAATACCAGAAAGGCACTACAAAATGCCTTTCAAGAATTTGTTGCCTCCCATCCAGCTGATTTCTTCAAGAAGGGCATCAATAAACTATCACTGCTCTGGCAGAGATGCATAGATTGTATGGGTCATTACTTTTAAAATATTTCGCTCGGTTTTTTTTTACTTTATAATATTAATACAAACATACTGATGAAATACGAATAATATTTTTTGATCTTAGCGACATAATAGAAAAACTGAACTGGTTAGTTGAATTCGTGTTTTTAAAAAATACTAAAAAAAGGGCTCGAAAAAATAGATTTTCTCAAGAAAGAAAGGAATTTGAAAAAAAAAATTAAAAAAAGTCAGTCGGTCGGTCTGGGCTCGAACCATGGGTATTACGATTTTGTGACTGCCCAACATACCAATTAAGCTATTTGTAATCATTAATAAACTAGTCAATAATAAACTACTAACTAGTAATATAGTAGCAGTTTTTCATTCCCTAAAAACTCGGACAAAAAGACATTTTCTAAAAATAAATCCTAGCTAGATCGATTTTTGCCCCCGAAACTCCCTGCACACAAAATTTTATGAAAATCGTTGGAGCCGTTTCCGAGATTCCGATTATATATATATATATATATATATATATATATATATATGATGATGATGATGATGATGATGATGCGGTGACCAGGATTAAGAAAGGAATGCTTCGGTGGTTTGGTCATGTAGAAAGAATGATTGCGGAAAGACTGACAAAGCAAATATATGTTGCAGAAGTGAATGGAAGAGTCGGAAAGGGACGTCCTAGGCGGAAGTTTGTCGACCAAATTGGCGATATACTAAAAATGGGCCAAATTAAGAGTACCCTTAATCGACGAGCATGTATGCGTAGGTATATGGATGTGGAACAGGCGAGAAAGATAATTAATTTTTTTAATATAAGTTTGTAATTTTTTTAACTATTTATTTTAACGGTTCAAACTTATATTAACCATCTTTAGAGCACCGCACAAAGAGAATTCCGAAATAACAAAATAATAAGATGAAACACTATTTAAAACGATGTATGTACTAGCAATGCTTTTAACATTACGCTATTGGTGAGTTTAAAAATAAAATGTTGTGAAAATGCTTATGTTAGGAGTGGTTCACGACAGTGGTAGAATGGCGGATTCGAACCCACAAAGTTTTGAGTTCGCAGTCCGCACCCTGCCATTAGGCTACTCTAGTTTACTAAACTGTGTTCTATGTCATTCTGTCGCAGGCTAAATAGTGGGTGTTTTGGCGCAGAATGAAATGATATCTGTGATATGGTTCCCGATATTTTCTGCCACCAGAGCGTGATAAATGGAATGGATCGTGCTAAATGGAAGTCTGTAGTCTCTGCCTACCCCTCTGGGTGACAGGCGTGAGTGTTTATGTATATGTATATATACATATATATATATATATATATATATATATATATATATATATATATATATATATATATATACAAGAATTGCTCGTTTAAAGGTATAGGATAGGATAAAAAAATATGAAGAAAAAATTACGTTAACTTATTTCATAAAAAAAACAGCAATTTCATAGGTAAAGATAAAAATATGATAATCTTCAACTACAGGTGAAATTCAAGAATACTTCGTTCTAAAAACGTCATTTTATTGAACAAAATTTGATTGACTCTTTTTTTTATAGGAAAAGGATGACAAGCGAGCACACAGTCCACCTGATGGTAAGTGGTTGCTGTGGCCCATACATCTACAACTATCCTCGTTTGCGAATCAAAATGCAGATGCGTTGTCAGCCTTGAGGACTAAGATGGAATGCATTTAACAGTGGTAGAGCCACGCGGCAGCTTTGCTGTTGCACGTATGGGCCGGCTCAAACCGGGGTGGTACCACGACCTCACAGAATACCGGCGTGAAGTGGAAGCACTGCTTCCGCGTTTCGTCTGGTGAGTGCAGGTGGCCGGAGGCCCAAATCCCCCCCCCCCCCCCCATCAACATGGTAGCGGAATTAAATAATGATCGACTACCCCAGGAGGGTACCAGCACCCCTGGAGAATCCCTCGCTGAGCATCCACGACCATGTTTCTCCACTTCTGAGCGTGGGTGCTCAGGCTGCCCCGCGTATTCTGGGGGGGGGCAAAATTCCGCTCAAGACTACAACTGCTCGGGGCAAACGGAGCAACAAGACCAAGGCGACCCCTGCCACGCTGTCCGTGAATTTCTGCAATATCAGGGGACTTCACTCTAACCTAAACGCCGTCCACTACCATCTCGAGACGGCGAGGCCGGCTCTGCTCTTTCTGACCGAGACGCAGGTGTCCTCTCCGGCTGATGTCTCGTATCTCTCCTACCCGGGGTACAAACTGGAACACTCCTTTGTGCCTCGGGCTGGAGTTTGCGTTTACGTCAGAGAGGACATCTGCTCTCGACGCCTCGGCAGACTTGAAGGTTCGGACCTGTCCATCCTTTGGCTACGCGTAGACAGCGACGACCATCCGCGCGTCTACGGGTGCCTCTATAGGTCCCATAGCGGTAATGCCGAAACAGACCGACTATTCGACCACGTCCAAATGGCTGCAGATTCGTTGCTACAGCAGATCCCCTCCGCAGAGATCGTGATCCT